TTCTAGTATTATCTATTTTCAGTTTCATTCTCAGTTGAACTTTTAGTTAGGGGTCCATCAATGGATTCCCAAGTTGTAACTTTGAAGTTTTGGAGGATTGGAGTTTCAATTTTCAGTTGTACATGGAGGATTTTATAATTAATGTTTCTTTCAGTTTTATTTTATCTTTATTGTTCTTTTTGTCATCTGTGTTCGTTTTAAAATACTTTAATTGTTTGATATTCCCTCGGGTTTGGGCCAGGGCCTGATCAACCCGTGTCTCAGATCCGAGGGGTATCACATAATGACTACTTGAAGGATTAGTGTCATCAATTATGTAAGTTTGCCCTTTCGGGTTGGCCACTGGCTGACTAGGCAGTTTTTCTTCCTTTCTATAAGATAGAACACTTGCTACTTGCCCAACTTGAACCTCTACCTTGGCTATGTCTTCAGAATGAGAATGAAGAAGTTGGGTATGCGATTTAAGTTCCTTAAGTACAGTTAAGACTTGATCTTCAAAAGCAGAATTTCTAGGAGGAGGAGGAAACAGAGCTTAAGTAGATTGATTCCTAAACTAAGGTGGACGATAGATAGAAGATTGATTGAAAGAATTATTTTAGGGTAGAGGATTGGATGGATTTTGGTACTGTCCCTGTGATTAGGAACAGTATTGCCTTGGCTTTGATTCCGCTATGATGGATTTGGATGATCTCTCCAGCCAGGATTTATAGGTATTAGAGTATAGATTATACCTTGGTCTGGAGAATGCAGAATTTACTTGCTCTTAAGGAATCTTAGAAGATTGTCCCATCATAGGACAACTATCAGCAAGATGCGATGGATTAACGCAAATCAAGCATACCTCATTTGGCAAAGAGGCATGTTGAGAAGCAATAGAAATATAGCTAGATGATAAGACTTAGTTGAACCTTCAGTTCAACACTTCTATTTAAATGGCAAGCTCTCTAGATTTATCGACTTCATAAAGATTTTCGACCTTATAGATTTTAGGAGTAAACCTGGTCCTAGAGGAAGAAGCATGTTGTATAGAGTTTTCACTTAGGGTCTCAAACAATTCCCAAAAGTTAACTGCACTCTTATGAAGGAAAGTTCCATTATTGAAAGCATCAACCATGTTCCTATGTGGATCAGGTAATCCATCATAGAAGATCTGCACCAAATGCCATTTAGCAATATCATGGTGTGGACACTTTCTCAGAAGATCATTGTATCTCTCCCAAGAATGATGAAGTTGTTCACTCAGAATTTGGGTAAACTGCATGATTTATCTTCTCATTTGTGTGGTTTTACCCATAGTGTAATATTTTTTCAAGAACTCCTGTTGCAACTTATCCCATGTGCCTATGGAATTATTTGGTAGGAAATGCAACCAGGTTTTTGCCTTGTCCTTGAGAAAGAATTGGAAGAGTCTCATCCAAAATAATCATCAAGTGGACAACTTGGTAGTTGAACACAATTCCAGAAACACATCTAAGTGCTTATAAGGATCTTCAGTTGCAAACCCATAGAATGAAGGAAGCATTTGGATCATAGCAGGCTTGATCTCAAAGTGTTTTACATTAGTGTCTGGGAATTGAAAGCACGAGGGGTAATTGTATGAAGTGGGAATGTAATGATCCCTCAGTGGTGTAGGAGTAGGTGCAGGTGGTACACAAGTTCCTGGTGCAGTTTCACCATCAGCAGCCATGTCTGATCTAGAAGATTCTCTTAACAAGTTAGAATTCTTTTTAGGTTTTCTAATTCGCCTAAGAGTTATTTCTAGTTCTGGGTCGTATTCAAGTGTTGGTTTTGATAAGGAATGGCAACCTACCATGCACTATGTTCAATGGTAAAACCAATAACAAAAAGAAAATTTCCAAGTAAAGAAAAAAACCAACAAGAACTCACAGAAGGTCCTGAAACCGCAGTTTTTGTTCCTTAAACATCTTCGTCCTCACTGCTAGATTCCTTCACTTGAAAAGAAAAATAATTAAGGTAAGCTATTAGAAAGTCCTAAAATTACAAATTAAAGTAGAACTAATCTTAAACTCAACAAAACCGTTACATAGTTCCCCGCAACGGCGCCAAAAATTGATGTGTACATAATTTATACCACTCACAATAGTATGAATCCTTTGCAGGATAGGACTACTAAGAGGGTGTCAAACCCCAGGGACTATGGTGGTTTATTGAATTTTCAATTAATACTATTTTAATTTAGGAAAAGGATTTTTTTGTTTTGTTGTGATTCAATATCATAAAAATAAAAAAATAAACAAAATAAAAGATTGAGATCAGAGAGAGAAGATCTTAGGGATTGACTTCACCACGAACCTCATACTATGGTCAACTGTTCAACCTTGGGATTTCAACACTTATGTATAATACAGAATTAAACTCAATAATATTCGTTTAATTCAATTTAAAGAAAGATGTTTCATGAATTTTAGTTAATAATAACCTATCTTTAGTTGGCACGAATTATCTACCTACCTACTTCTAACTAATGTTGTAGTATAACTCGTCTTCCTTAGGCATAGACTATAAAAATATTTATTCACAAAATACGTTTGAACACCATTACATGATCTCTATTCTTATTGTCTGAGAAACCCTTAGCCGACAATCTCACACAATAAGAATATGTTGAATATAGTTTAAGAAGAATTAAATCTAAGACGAGGTATTAATTTCTCAAAAACTAATATATTTCATTAAAATCCCAATTACTTAGAACATCTAAGTCAATTGATCAAAATCATGCAATCAAAATACATAAGCAGTTAAAAACCCAAAGTATAGAATAATCAAACCATAGTAATCGGATTCGGGTTACATCAATGCCCAAAGAGAGCATTTAGTTACTCATAACGATGGAAGATATCATCTATGTTGTTGTAGACTTCATCATCATGGACTGCACTTCTCTTCTATGGATCTTCACCTTTAATGCTTCAGAGAAAACTAGAAAACCCTAAAAGCCGCCACTAGATCTAAGAATAAACAAGAGAGAAGAATGAGAGCTTTTATGTGGCCTTGTGCATCCTTTTATAGAAGCAACTGACTTCTATCAAAGATTGGATAGGCTTTAGGTTTTCTAGGATCATCTGGGCCCGTCTGGGACTTATTAGGACTTAATTAGAATTAATACTGCAATTAAAAATTCCGACTTAAAAGGAAAGGCTCGAGCAGAGAAGCTTCTGGTTGAGCTTTTTGGCTGGTGCTCGAGCCTTTTGGATGGTGCTCGAGCTTTTTGATCTCTGCTCGATCTCTGGTAACTTGGAACTTCTGAGGCGTCTTTTCATATTCTGAGGGAGTTTATGCTTGAGCCCTTTTGCAAAAGATCAAACACCTTGAACTTCTGTGAGCAGGAATATCTATGCTCGAGCCTTTTGGCTTTGGTTACTTTTCTTGCCTCGGTGAACTTTATGCTCCAGCTAGGAACTCTATGCTTGAGCTTTTGCACTTAAGCTTCTCCAAAATCACAATTTTAACTCCAAGCTTGCTTCAGATGATCAGGGACAACTCTGTAAGCTTCAATATCAGTCTTTAAGTCTCCAGAATCCCGGTTTTATCCTTTTCTTTGGGAAAGTACCTACAAAAGCATATAAACTAAAATCAATCTAAAACTGGATAGAAGTATCACTTAGGGTCTTAACATAAGTACGTTTAGGGGCTCGAATATGTAATATTCAGTGCTCATCACCCTTGTGTGTCCTCGGATTCGGGCAAGGACCCGGTTAGTGATTCGAATCCCTGGATTTGGGTCGTTACAACTTGGGAGTAAGAATAAGAGATTCGCTCTAACTATCTAGATTTGTTTACGACTCCAGGCATAACTTGATTTCAGGGACGAAATCACTTCAAAGTGGGGAGGTTGTAAGGACAACACCCTTTTTATTTTTAGTTTTTTTCCATATTTATTTTATTGTATTATCATTTTCGCCGAGTCAAGTGCTCGAGAATAGTTTCTGACACTTCATTTGTTCCATTAGGGCATATTTTATCTTCGTGACATTATGGGGTATATTTTACACATGCATATGATTATCTTTTCATTTCAAGCATTTGTGATATTATCTTTTGAGATATTTTCATTTGGAGCCTTTGTGCGTTTTTTAAAAGTTGTGTGACTTGTGGGGGGTTGGATGAGTGACAAATGGATGGTGGATAAGAGTATGTGTGTGAGAGAGGTAATGCTAGGGTAGGTATTAAGATATTATATCACAAATATCTATTCCATTTCTTTTCTTTTAACTCACTGTTGCTCTAACCTAAAGCTCTATTTCTTTCACTTTTCATTTGTCTTCTTAACTAGCCATAGAAGAGAGAAAGCATGGGGACACATTAGGCTACAAAACCCCTTTATCATTTTTGGATTTAGAGCTCATTTTTAACTTGGATTTCTTGGGTTTGTTTCCAAGTAAGGTAGGGGTGTAGTATGGCTTTAACCGAGTCACTTCCTTGTGTTTTGAGGTGTTGTGTGTGTTGTGCATGTATAGTGTGAGTTGTGAGTGTTTTTGATGTAAGATTATTGATAACCTAGCTCATAAATGATGATATTAAGCATGCCATTGATTAGTTCTATGTTTTGGATGCTTATATGATATATATAAATGATGATATTTGGAGAAATCATGATTTACTTGTATACGGTTTATATATTTGGCTTATGTGAGATCAAATATTAGGTTTGAATATATTGTTATGCTCATTTTGATAGTATTACGAATGCTATTTTGAATGTATGTGTGTGTATATATATATATATAATTAGGTTTCTATTAACATGTAGATGGCCGAGAAAATGATGGATTCTTATTTACGAGAAAGAGGCCACCCGAAAGCGTAGCTCAAAGAAATCATGAAAAAAATTTATAACTTCCATAATATTTAAGAGAAAAGATGTTCCAAACAAAGATTAGAGCAGAAATTGAATTCATGTTATCAAATTAGGTATGGATTTGATTTAGATTTAAGAAAAAACTAGAAAGAAAAAAAATAATAATAAGAGAAGGTGGTTTCAAACGAAACAGAAATTGAATTCATGCTAGTTATTGAAATATTCAACTATAACATATAAGTTCATAGCCCTAGAGATGGGTAGGTCAGGAGAAGGGTGATTGACAATTCTGTTTAGCTGGGACAAGGATATTTTCGTCAAAAAATTTGCAATTTACAATTCTGATTACTGAGATCATTATGGTTATTCAAACAACCCACAACAATATATATATTCATGAAATGGATTCTGAAGCACCTTTGTTGTATAGGAGAGTGAAATCTATGAATGTTAGCATCATAGAAAAGGAAGATGATAGAACACAGAAACTTGTCTGTCCCTTCACCTAGGCTACCAATAATCCCCACAGGAACATAATCCATCTCTAAAATGGTGAAAACGCTTGTTATCTCTCACAATTATCTCCCTGTCAACAACTTTTGAAACCAACTTGAACGCATTGTGACAATCTCCACAAATCCGCAGATTTTTGCAGATCCTCAGTGTTACACCTTTAGTTGTCTTTAACAAGCCAAAAGAAACTGCAAGCTTTTCACTGTGGCCGCGTAATATCTCTATTTTCTCCTCTTCTTTCAATTCATGAAGCACTGAGCCTGTATCAGGCACATACCCGATTCCACTTATTTTCTCCTCTAATCTTCTCCACATCTGCCGGATTTCTTCTGACTCCTCGGACATGTTGTCACCAACAAGAAAGTTAAAAATTTTCCCTCCAATTTCAATCCAACTAAAACCAACATCCTTCTGAAGGCCTATTGCCTTCATCTTTCCCCTCATGCTTCTCACGTCATCCCACTTCCCAGATCCAGCAAATAAATTTGAGGCCAGCACATAATTCTCTGCTTTGTCTGGCTCCAATTCTAGCAACTGCTCGGCAACTTTCTTTCCTAAATCCAACTCACCATAAATTCTACAGGAACTGAGCAATGAGCTCCAAATTACAGCATCAGGTTCCACATGCATCTCATCTATAAGTTTTAAAGCATCACCCAATCGTCCAGCACGACCGAGCATGTCCACCACACATGCATAATGCTCTAATTTTGGCTCTATTCCATGCAAAGTCTGCATCTGGTTAAAATAATTCAGACCCTCTTCAACCAGTCGAGCATGGCTACATGCCGATAAGATGCCAATGAACGTCAAGCCATCAGGCTTTAACCCTACATTTTTCATTTTCTCAAATAGCTCTATGGCCTCTTTTCCTCGTCCATTAATTCCATATCCAGCAATCATAACCGTCCATGATGCTTCATCTTTTTCCTTCAACCAGTCAAATATCCTCTGCGATTGCTCTATTGAGCCACATTTTGCATACATATCTATGATCGCACAACCAACAAATATGTCATCAGTTAGGCAAGCTTTTAAAGCAAAGCAATGGGTTTCCTTTCCTAGCTGCAAAGCTGACAACTGTGAACAAGCCCCAAACACACTCGTAATTGCAATTTCATAAGGTTGAGTAGCATCTGATATCATTTGACGAAAGAGATTCAGGGTTTTATCTGGGAGTCCATTCTGTGAGTAGCCAGCAAGCATAGCATTCCAAGATACTAAATTTTTATCTTCCATCCCATCAAACAGAATCTGTGCAGATAATGGTTTCCCGCAATGAATGTAAAGTGAAAGTAGTGAGATACCAATAAATGAATCGGTTTCTAGATGATTCCGAAGCACAAACCCATGAACTTCTTTGCCATATTGTAGGGATTTCATGTGGGCGCAAGCCAAAAGTAGGCCACCAATGCTAAACCAGTCAGGATCTAAGCCGGAATATGTCATTTGAAGATACAAATCTAAAGCCTTTGGTGCATCTCCATTTTGTGCATAGCCACCAATAAGTGCATTCCAAGAGCTCACTGTCTTCTTCTCCATAGCGTCAAAGACATGCTCAGCATAACTTAGTGACCCACATTTTGCATAGGCTGCAATAAGAGCATTGGCCACCATTTCGTCATATTCAAACCCATGTCTGAGTGAATGGCCATGAAGTTCCCTTAAATATAACAATTCTGACTTCTCTAAACAAACTGGCAGGGCATTCAATATGGTGATCTCATTGGCCTTCATTTGCTCATTCTCCTTTTGCATCTTCCGCAAGAGATCAAATGTTCCACCAACATCACCTTCCCTAGAATAACCCAAAATTATGGAATTCCAAGAAACCACATTTTTGTTATCATTCTTATCAAAAAGCCTTTGGGCTTCATGTAATAACCCACATTTTGAGTACATGTCCAACAAGGCATTTATCACCTTTAGTTCCTGACTCAGCCCCAATTTTACAGCCAACGTATGAACCATCATTCCCATTTCTAGGTTTCCTTCCACCGCGCACACCGGTAATATAGTCACCAGCGTAGCAACATCCGGTATCAAACCTTCCTTGCTTGCAGCAATCTCACTGAACACATCAAAACTCTTTTGAGAAAACCCATTCTCAGAAAACCCACAAATAATCGAATTCCAAGAAACCAAGTTTCTCTCAGGCATATTTTCAAACACTCTAACAGCATCATCAACAAACCCACATTTCCCATACATTGCAACCAACGCATTACCAACAAACACATCTGAAACTATATTCATCTTCACTGCCATTCCATGAACACTTTGTCCCAAACCCAAATCCAACAGCCCTCCACAAGCCTTAATAACACAAGGAAAAGTAAAATTATCGGGTTCATGTTCCGTTACCGAAATCAACTCACAGAAAGCAGAGATTGCATCACACCATAGCTCATTTCTCGTGTACCCACTGATTAGTGCATTCCACTGGTACAAGTTCTTCCTCTGTAATTGATTGAAAACTGCGCGAGAGTCCAGAGGAGAGCCACACATGGAATACATGGTAATGATTCGTGTATTGAGAACAAAGTCGTTGCTGAAATGGGTCGATGTTGACACCATCTCATGGACTTCACGGCCGATCTCAATGTCTTTGTGGTGGCCACAGGCCTGTAACAACAAACCCATTGCCTCGGATCTGTGAGCCAGAGCAACATTACCGTAGTCTCCTTGCAGTAAATTCAGAGCTTCGGCCAGTTCTCCGGATTCGCAGAGTTTGCTGATCTTTTGAGGTAAGGACAGTTGATGGTTTGAGGAGTTGGTTGGAGTGACAGTGAGCCTTTGGTTGGTTTGTGTAGAGAGAGAAAGTGATGCTCGTGGGATGAAAATTGGGTTCAGATGATTCTTGCCTTGTGATCTGTGCACGGTTCTATGGACTGGAATTGGGTGGAGGTGGAGGCATGGAAGTGGGTGGTGGTGGAGGCGTGGGAGTGGTGCTGCCACCGGAGCCATGGGGAAGTATTTTGTATTGGTGTTTTTTCAGTTATAATCTCGGTGGATTTAGGAGTATCCGAGGCCTCAAAAGTCAAAAGTCAATTTTTTTCTATTTTTTATTTTTTAAATGTGACAGTTTGATTATGGGTAAATACTGTAAAAGCCTCTTTGAAAAAATCAATAGTCAAAAGATACATTTTAGAGGAGTAACAAAATTTTACTTTTAGAATCTCTTTTTAAAAAGCTCTTTTTTTTTTTTTTCTCTTTTTTTTTTTTTTTTTTTTTTTTTTGCGGCCAAGTAATAATGTCCCAATGAGATATGAGGTCTTCGGGCTTGTCGGAGTTCTCCGTTTAATCGGTGTGTCTCTACCGGTTAGAGTTGCTTGTTTCTTTCCGATCTAAGGTTGGGATCTTGTTTCTTTTTTTCTTTCTTCCTTTTCTTGGGTTGTCAATTTTTGTGGGATTTTGTGGTTGTGATTGTTGCTGCTCTCCTTGATTTGTGATGGGTGTTTTGTTGTTGCTGTTCTTGGATCTACTGATTTAAGTTTGGTTGGGTTGGGAGGTGGATTTTGGGGAGGGGGGTTGTATTCACTTGATGTTCCTCACTCTGATCTTCTGGTAGTGTTGGGTGGTGATTTCGTCTCTGGTTGATTGGTTGCTGGAAGTCTCCGGTATCGCCTCTTTGGGGGTGTCGGCGGTGTATCTTTGGTTGCTGTGCGCTGGTTCTTTCGTAGGGTTTGACCTAAGTGTATCTGGTTCTTTGCCTTGTTTTGGGTCCATTGATGCATTGGGCCTCCATTTTTTGGCCCTCTTTTTGGTGCCTCTTCTTTTTACTGTTACGGGCTTTCTATTAATGCCGCACCAATTTGCATCAACTGGATCTTCTTTGGGTCCAGTTCTTTGCCTCACCATCGAGTGGATTGGTTTGGTTTAGAGCCTGGGTCTTCTTCCTCTGGTCGTTTGGAGTCTTTGTTTTTTTTTTTTTTTTTTTTTCATAATTGGTTTTTGTATAAAAAGAAAAAAACGGTGTATCTTCAGAATTTTAACGGAAAGAACAACACCTTAGGGAAGAACCATTCCCAGTAAATTGAAAAAAAAAAAAAACAAAGTATGATAGTTATATAATGTCTCTAACTGAGACATTATAAACATCAAAAACGACCTCGGAGGTGGAAGTAGGACTATGACCATGAAGCCTTCGATTTCTCTCTTGCCAAATGCTCCAAAAACCACCGATCAATAATGTTTTAATCATTTTACTATTCTGTGATGAGAACCAAAGCAACAAATCGTCAATTGTAAAGATAGAAATAAAGTCCACAGTCCAACCAAGTGCATCCTTCAACCAACTCCAGAAATTCATAGCAAAAGCTCCATTCAACCATCGTTTGGGGTCTTTGCTTCCGCAATCGGGGACACCATCTATGCTGGCTTCGGCATCAACTCAACCTTTTCTTCTACCAGCGAAAATTCTTGTATGGAATTGTCGAGGATTGGGTAATCCTCTCAAGGTTCAGCAACTTAAAAGGTTATGTGGTCATTACTCTCCTACTATTCTTGCTCTTCTTGAAACTAAAGCCAGGGGGAAGTGTATTAATAATGTCCAAAGGGCTCTGGGTTTTCATAATGTGTGCATATCTGAGCCGGTGGGTCGATCTGGAGGTCTTGTATTGTGGTGAATGGATGATTTGCATGTTCAGGTGCTTGAAAAAGATCGATTTCATATTACGATGGATGATCGTTATGCGAATATTATTGCTCCTACTTGGCAAGCCCCTGTTCAGGTTCTCGTCAATATAGTTAGACGACAAAAATCAAATCTTGCAAACAAGCTCTTATTGGCTGGGCAAAAGCGAGGTGTTGTAATTCCAGGGCGAAAATTGATAAAGTAGAAGGTGATCTCCGCCGTTTCAAATCTCAGACATCGGATTATAATCATCCTCAAGTGTTACACGCTGAAAAATTGCTGCACCAGTTCTGGTTGGAGGAGGAAATTATTTGGAAGCAAAAATCTCGTAATAATTGGTTACAGTTTGGGGATCAAAATACTAAGTTTTTCCATGCAGCTACACAGCGCCGGCGAGTTAGAAATATTATCTTTGGTATTACTGATGATCGGGGTAACTGGCAGGAAGATGAGTCTCAAATCCAGTTCCTTTTTTTACAATATTTTCAAAACCTTTTTCAATCTCAAAACCCTTCTAATATTGATCAATTCTTGCGATATATTCCATGCAGAATATCTTCTGATATGAATCAAGCTCTTTTGGTTCCTCCCACAGAATTGGAAATCTGGCGCGCTGTGTTTGATATGGCACCACTTAAAGCTCCTGATCCAGATGAAATGACGTTATTTTACCAAAAGTATTGGGATGTGCTCAAAGGTGATATTGTTTCTGCTATTGTAAGTTTTTTTTTTCATTCCGGACATTTACTTAAAAGTCTTAATCATACTAATATTGTTTTAATTCCAAAGATTTTGTCGCCTACTCTCGTTACGCACTTTCGGCCTATTTTTTTATGTAATGTTGCGTATCGTATTATTGCGAAGGTGATGTCAATAGATTGAAAGTTGTGATGGATGCTATTATTAGTGAGACCCAAAGTGCTTTTGTTACAGGGCACCATATTACATATTACAGACAATATTCTTGCCACTCATGCGATCCTTCATTACCTTAAAAATAATGGAAGGGGCGGCAGGCGTTCATGGCACTCAAGTTGGATATGAGCAAGGCCTATGACCGGATTGAATGGGCCTTTCTTTTTCAAATGATGCATCGTTGGGGATTTCATGATCATTGGATTAAAATGGTTTCTGCCTATGTCTCTATAGTCACTTATTCCATTAATATTAATGGAGACTTGTTGGTTTTTTCCGTACTTCTAGGGGCTTACAGCAAGGGGATCCTTTGTTGCCGTACTTATTTATTATGTGTGCTGAAGCGCTTGCTTTTGCTATTATTCGGGCTCAACAAGCTCAGGTGTTAACTGGTGTTCGAATCTGTCGCGAGGCTCTAGAAATTTCCCATCTATTTTTCGTTAATGATTCGATTGTTTTTTGCTCAGCTTCTGAAAGTAAGGTTGCATCCTTAAAAAGAATTTTGCAATGGTATGAACATGCCTCGGGTGAATAGATTGATTTTGCTAAATCTTCCATTTTTTTGGTCTAAAAATGCCTCAAGCAGACTGAGATTTTCTTTGAGTAGGATGCTTGGTCTATCCAAGGATGGTATGCACGCTCGTTATTTAGGTGTGCCGGCCATTATTGGGCGATCTAAACGGGATGTGTTTCAGTTTATGTCTCAACATATGCTAGATAGATTGGCGTCCTGGAAATCTAATACTTTATCGGATGGTGGAAAGGAAGTTTTGATTAAGGTAATGTTAAGTGCCCTTCCTACGTATGTTATGTCATCCTTCCAACTTTCTTGCTCTCTTTGTCTTGAGTTGATAAAGTATATTCGGGATTTTTGGTGGCGCAAGTCAAAGTTCCAAAAACCTGTTTATTGGCTTCATTGGGATTTGTTGTGTAAACCAAAGAACTGTGGGGGACTTAGATTTCAAGATTTAGAATCTTTTAACATGGCATTATTGGCCAAGCATGGTTGGAATTTTCAAATTCTTCACTGTGGTTTGGTGTATAAATTGCTTAAAACTAAGTATTTTTCTTCTTGTTCTTTTTTGGAGGCACCTTTGGGTTCAAATCCATCATGGGGTTGGCGCAGCATCTGGTCTACCTGTGACGGCCCAAGGTTTTTCAACCCGGTGCGTCAGTAATGAACTGAAAGATGACCCGATAACGGATCCGAATTGCGGAAGCAAAAGATGAAATGACATCCCTAGGGACACAACATGTCTGTAGGACACCAAAGAGACCCTCAATGAGATCATGGAACCCAAAGAAAACAAATGCGGAAACAAGATTTCAAAAATGGACAAAAAGGAACCCAAGGGTAAAATGGTCATTTCAATCAAAAAGTGAGTACTACCGAGCACACCGTTGGAAAGATAACGAAAAATTAATGAATTTAGACTCAAGAATCACTTGATTCGGAGTCCGGACAGCAAAAATATCAAATCTTGAAGTCGAAGGAAGAAAAACCCTATCCCGGTTCGAGCCAAAAACTAACACCCCTCCACTAAAACTTGAATAACTTGAGCTACCAAAGGAATCTGAAACTCTAATTGGTACCATTGGAAATCTTATTTCGATGCGGTCAGTTTAGACTCAAGAACGGACCAATTCGGAGTTAAAACGAAGAAGATATGACAATTTGAAGTCGGAGGTGCAGTGCTGAACCAAGACACACAAACACACACCTATGAATAGTAATTCGAGCTCTCGAACAAGGACTTCGAGTGCTCAAATAGTACATGTCTGAGGGCCAAAACTTTCTGCCCAAACTTCGAGCGCTCGAACTCCCCTTTAGAGCGCTCGAACTCCTGTAGCTGCACCTGTAATGCAACCTTGAAATGCAATTTTGAGGACTTTCTGGGCCTTTTTTGGAAAAAAAGTTGTGAAGTAACCCCCCTTAAAATCATGTTTTCTGGTCAACTATGTCAAGACCAACATTTATTTTTCAAGTGAAATACCAAAAATGCTCTTGAGGTCTGATTTAGCAAAAATATGTAAATGAATACTACTCTAAGTGTTCATTTCATCAAGAATGATGTTGTGTGCCAAAGTGAGCATGCACACATATGTAAAATGAGTAAATACATATGTTCCAATAGCCCATGGTCACATAGCATGTTATATACAAAATACGACCTGTCAAACCTCAAATTCTCATAATTTCATAAGACAAACTATGGGATTAAACTAGCATACATGTGATATAAATGTACATGGCCCTTGGCCTCATCTTATGCATACAAAATAGACATTTTCAAGTGTTCTTAGATATACATTACACATCAAGGAAGCCATCTTAGCTTCTACAATACCATATATCCACGGTATACAAAATTTAACATCCAAAAGGAAGGAATGCTAAACAAATGCATGTCAATATACAAAAATGCTTCAAATAACTCAAAATCTTCTAAGGATGATGATCCAAGAACATGATCTCTTTACCTGAAAAACAACCCAAACCACTAGGGTGAGTAATCAAGTTACTCGTAGGAGAAGTATATGCGTATACCTTAAAGTTTCAATATCATTGCAAGATTAATATAGACGAATACAAGGGAGCATTCCACTTAACGTCTATATTCAAGGTGTTCTAAGGGATCATC